CCCGAACATGAATTCAATCCAAATAATTCATATATTAGATTTTAAATAACACAGACTGAACTAGAGGCCAACAATAGCCAGCAAATAACCTTATATAAGAATAAAAATACAAAAGTGTATATCCTAATATCATTGCATTATTTGTTTTCATAAGTTTTAAATTTTTGCTTTGCCTGTACATCACAGTTACAGCTACAGACCAGGTAGAGAATTTTACACGTTCTAACTGACTGCCACCAACCTGAAAGACAGCTAACATACTATTGATTCATCCGATTTTGCGTTATGGAACAGCTACAGCAGTTCTAAATAATGCAAAAATTTATTTTTGTCAATGTCCAATTGAACTTCGGGTAAGGAGAGGCTTTTCAACAGCAAAACGACCCCTATTCATAAGTCATTCTCCCAGACTGGTTGGGACTAGGGTGGATCACACGCTAAAAAAAGGTCTGCCTTTTGTAAAAAGTTCTCTGTATGCGAAGTTTGGTGTCTCTTCACACTGAAGTGGGTTCTGGAGAAAATTCAGGTATACATGTAAGCTAGTTCAGTTGCCCATCACAGCTGAGCTACAGATAAAACTGCTCTTGGCTGGAACAGCTCCTTCCCCAGACCAGTTCTCCACAGGCAGCCTGATTTGCAACTCCCCAACTTTGGGCCAGCAGCCTGCCCCCCCTCAGATGCTCTGGAAGAGACTCCTGCCCTGATTTGGGGCACTTGCCAGTACAGGCTGCCCTAAGTGGGAAGTGCCACACCCACCTGAGTCACCGTCAGCTCATGTGAGCTTTGGATGAAAACAAACAATGTGGAAAAATGTACAGGACAACATCTCTAAGGATAGTACCTGCATCCTATTCTGGCAAGCGGCTGCAGCCTCCGCGGTCTGGGGAGTGAGCACCCTCAGTCTGTGGACCGGACAGGGGACAGGGGACCTGGGGTGTCAGAGGAGGGCAGTAAGTCCAATTCTGCACAATCCAGCCAAAAATCTCTGGTAGACTCAAGTGACACTGAGCACAGCACCTAAAAAATCTCTCACGCACCTCTCCTCTCAAAATCAATGGACCCCAAACTAAAGTGGAGAAATTAGGAATGAAACCAAATTGGGTGTTCTGGGTTTGAAGACAGCCAGACAACCTGCAACACCGTGAGGGAGGACAGGGGAGGAGTCCCGAAAGCCATGTGGGCCAGGACAATCACCCTCTACAGTGAAAAGGCCTGGCCACTGCGCTCTACTAACTGATAAGACTTTCCTACTGAGTGCCACCATTTGAAGAGCATGGGGGCAAATAACCTTATGTTAAACCCAACTGCCTAAGTGGTCTCCTTCTCAAGTAAGATTTTGCTCTTTTACTGATTCCAAATGGCCCAATGTATTTTCGGAGTCTACACACTTAATTACAAATCATCTACTATGCATGTGGCAAGGTCAGTTCAACACTTTTTCTCTCTTAAGCCTGTGCAGATGCAAATTCAGTACCATTGTGGACACAAAGTACGAGCTTCTGAAAGTATCACCAAGCAGGTGAAAGCCACAGCAGCAGGGATGGGAAGGTAACTAACATGCAAGCATCACCAGATTCTGTCAATGAAAATAAGGAAATGCACTTTTGGAAAAATCTGTCACAAAAGGACTGCAATAAATGATATCATTTTAGCATTGTGGGGGGAAAAAAAAAGCGCAGTCTTATTAAAACGTTCTTTGGAACACACACCTTAGCAGAAACTGATTTGTCCAGAATCTGTAGGACAACTGAGGAGGTTGTGTGCTGGAACTCTGAGCATCTAAGCCTCAGATCAAGACAGAGGAAGAGAGACTAATACAACCTTTAAAACAAACTCTTTGTGACCCCAAAACACTACTTCTAGGAACCGAGGGTGGGGGGCGATCAGAGTCAAAATCAAAGATTTATGAGGGTATTCATCACAGCATTATTTAAATAGTGAAAAACCAGAAACCATCTAAATGTTTTGTAACAGGAAAATGGTCAGATAAGTTATGATAAAAATGATAACCATATTAAGCTCTACAATCACTAAAAACAATGTTTTTAATCATTGTTCATGACGTGGAAAAATGCCTAAGATAAATTATCAAGTGAAACAAGCCAGATGCAGAACAGTGTGTTTCATGTTCCCACTTCAGTTTAAAAAGCAAACAAATGTGTGCATGGGGGGTGGGGGGGCTATACACCAAAATGTTCACAGTGGTCTCTTCTGGGTGATAAGCCTACAGCTGATGTTCTCAGAAAGCAAATGTTTTAAGAAAGCACAGAACCACCTTGAGCCCCTGGGCTGGCACCTGGCCCTGGGTGAGTCTGTGCCACGGGGCCGATTCCTGCAATGCCTATAGGCCTCGGCCACAAATACCACAGGGCAGCAGTAGGGGCCTGGAGAAGGTGCGGGGCCCACCAGCTCCGAACAGCCCAGAGAGGCATCTCCCGCAAAGCAGGTCTGTAACACACTCCTCAGAGCCAAGGTTCAGAACAGCAGGTGCAATGCCTTTGTGCACCCCACGGGGCCACCTGCTACACGACCCATCGCCCACTGTCCTGGTCAGGTCCACAGAAAAGAGGGAAGGAAATAGCCCCACCCAAACCTGGCTTCCTGGAGTTCCCAGAGAGAGGCAAGGCACAGTGGACCACCTGAGCCTCTGGAGGCCACAGCCCCACCCCCTCCCCTCCATGCCCTGCGAGGCCACATGGTGGGGGACCGGCTCTGCTTGCCTGCCATGTGGTTGGCACTGAACCTTCTCCTGGCCCTCACTAAGACACATGGCTCCTGAATCTAATCAACAGGGCACTTTCTTTCTCAGTGTGGATGAATCACCTGTACTTCCATGTATGTCTGGTACATACTCGATTGACAGCCATGCCCACATCTTAGAATGCAAGGCACCTGCACCGGGGACAGGCACTCTAAGGACAAGCTGCATACAACGAAAGCCAACACGGACAAGCACAGGGTAGGAGAAGAACATGTACGTGCCTTAAAAAAAAAGAGGGGGGGGGAGAAGGCTCTGAGAGGAGAAAAGGTGGCGAAGGGATAAGGGCTCAGCTGTCACTGGCTCAGGCAAGGGCAGTCACTTCAATTCTGTCAGCTGCGAGCTGAACCCTGAACCCCTCATTCTCTGGTTCCGGAGGTTACGATGGAGCTGGTGGGTGAAGCCCAGGAGGTAGTGGCGCTGTCCAGAGAGGAATGCAGCGGACGCTGTGTCTCTCCCAGAACAGCCCAGCCGGGCGCTCTTGTTAGAGCCAAACGCCAGCCCTGCTCGTTTCCCCATAACCAGACCCAAGGAAGAACACTGTGCAAGAGCAGCCCCCGACTCTCCGAATGGCACGCCCACAGACGCAGGTGTCCTAAAGGTAAATGATCAACATGGGGAATAAGCTGGAAGTGACATTCCTGAAGGCCTAGAGAGACTTAGTTTTTGAAAAGCAGGTGAACACAGGCAAGCCTCTTCAACAGCGGGGAGGAAGAGGGGAACGTGACCTATGACCCTGGCCCCGGGCAGCATCCCGCTCCCCTCGGTGCCCCAAGGGCAGGCACGCCCCCCACAGCTTGGCACCCACACGGGCGTGGGCACACACATGCACCCTTGCTCACTCATGCACGCACAGCTCTCACAGAGCAGTGCACAAGACCCAACAGGAAGCCGCTGGCACTCCCCGCCCCACTTCCGCTCCCATCCGCCCCCCTGCGCATGGCCCAGCGGGGTCAGCTCCACAGCCACACTCCCCTCACCAGGAAGACACAAGGGCCACTCTTAACACTAAACACGTTTGAGAAAGACATCTTTTCTCTCGATTTGGACCACTCGTAAACACGGGGTGACAGATGGTTTGTTCGAGATAGGAGATGGGGGCAGAGTGGTCAGGGGGGACCTCTCCTGTGTGAGCCTTCTGCTGGTGCCTTCGTTAAAGTCTCCAGGAAACGGCAAAGTTGTTCATCCCCTGGGGACAGAGATGAGTCTGTGAGCAGCCTGCAGGCAGCAGTGCCTCCACCCGCCCCACCCCCCACCTGGGGCTGTAGACTGCCCTCAAGGGACAACCTGGGTAGGGAGAGGAGCTCTGAGCACCCCCAGGTGCACCCGCTTTCTCTGTCCAGGGAGCAGCAGCAAAGAAATCAAAGGACCAGCAAATCTTGGACCCCCTGCAGTAGGTATGCAGCACTGTGCTGCCTCTGAAAAGAGAAAGGCAGGCAGGCTGAAAGCACAGGGGGCAAGCAGGCTGGGTGCTCAGACTGCAGTGTGGTATTCCTACCCCTCATGCAAGGTGAGCAACATTTTTTCCCGGCAAGGTCCACAACTTGATGGGGATAAATGACCTGGCAGCATGAGAAGGTTTTCAGACTTTCACTGTGGAGATGGGAATGTGCTGGGGAGTCAGGCTACAGGAACGTTCCCTCACCACAAAAGGGGTGTGTGTCACAGCGGGTTGACCGCTGGTGCCCAGAGACCCTCAGCCCTAGCAAACCGCGCCGGTTTGCCTGCATGTTCCACCCTCGGACCAAACTCTCAGGAGGGGCTCATCAGGCAGCACTCCTCCACGTGGGGGACGCCAGGCCCAGTCTGCCCTGATGCCCTGGCCTTGCCCGGAGTGGGGCACAGCCTTCCCTGTCTCCTGGCGCAATTGGGTGCCCACTTCTCACAGTGCTCTTTCCAGACCTGTGCTTCTTTCGAGCTCCACAGGGCCAACCCCGCTCAGAGGGATGTTCAATGCGAACGGCCTGCTGGCACCCTCCAACCTCAGCAGCAGCTCCGCAGCGCACCCCGACAGCCCACTCCACGTCTCCCCGCCTGGAGCCTGCCCAATGAACACAAGCCATGGAGTGCTCACAGCCAGAGCGATGCAAGAAGGCAAGCAGGGGCCCTGGCAGGGCAAAGGGGCATCAAGTAAGGGACACAAGAAAAGAAGCACACAGACCAAAGCCAAGAACCCTCCCACCCGCCAGAGATCGAAGTCACCCTGGCAGAGGCGTGCATGGGGCTCCCTGCCAACGGGTTCTGTGATGACCTAGGGGCAGGAAGAGCCCAGACACACACCCCATCCCCTCGGCCACAGGAGGACCGGCCGGTGCATGACCAGGGCATGTGATGCAGAGCTGGTGACCCGAGCCTGTTCCACTCGCCCGGGCGGGAATCAGGTGGACGTGCACGGCGCTGGGTCCCCAAGGCAAAGAGAGCTTGGGGAGCCTCCACAGAGCACAGAGAGCAAGCAAAGCGACCCTGAATTCCTTTTTGTTATTGGTTTTGTTCTTTGTGTGGTTGGGTATTTTTTTCTTCTTTTCTTTTAAATAAAAAAGCTGCAAGGTTCCGCCGTCTGCGTCCCCCTTGAGATGGCTGGCAGGTGGTCTGGAAGCGTCCCGGAGGGCGGCGAGCCGCACTGGGGCAAGTGTCCTGGCAGCGACTGTGGCAGCCGCAGACCTGTCACTGCACAGCAGCATCTGGGTGGCTCTGGTATCTGTGTCTCCACACTTCCTGGATCTTTTTGCACCATTTGTGAGCATTTCCACTCGGGTCCATCAGGTAATACGTCCTGTTCGGCTGTGGAGACAGAAACCGTTTAACGATGCTGAGGGGTCCCGCCGAGAGCAGCACCCTACTGCAGCCCCCAAGGGTACCTCTGGAGGCACACGAGCATGTGGGTTTTCCCTGCGCATATGTGCAGACATCACACATGCGGGCAAGGACCTACAGTTCCCTTAGGTCACCCCCACCCTGACAGACAAGCACAGGGGCCTGGGGGCCCAGCTCGGGGCTGAGCTGGGAGCGTGGGGCCCCGGGACACGAGAAGAGGGGGAGACAACTGCCCTGCAGAGAATCCGTACAGACAAACTCACCGTGTGCACGAAGAAGGTTTTAAAATTCTTAGCCTCCGGTCGGAGTTCTTGTGACCATGGAATTTCGCCTTTCAGGACTTTGTTGACAGGATCCACGTAATACAAATGTGGCCCTTCTGTAAGCAGTAACTGTCGTCGTCGTGCAAACAAACCCTGATGCAAAACGAGAAGACCCTGCTGGTCAGGGCTCAGAAGTGGGAGTCGGCAGCACCTATCGCGGCCTCAGAGGCTTGGCCATCACAGCAGCCCGAGGCTCAGGACCAGCGCCAGCCCCCCGTCTGCTCGCCTGGGACCTGGCCTCTCAGGTCAGAGAGGGACAGGCAGAATGAAGCGCCCAGCCTGCCCGGCCTCTGTGAGCTGGATTCCAATGGCCCCACTTGGGCGTGTCTCCCTCCTGTTGCCACATGAGGGAGCGGCAGCACCGGCAGGCAAACCCAAGCCTTGCTCCACCCAGCCTGCCAGGGACAATCAGGGCGCCCCTCATGCTCTCTGCTCCATGAGGGGAGGGGGGGCCTCCCCACTGCTGGCACTGACCAGGGCGGCGTGTGCAGCACGGCCAGGAACAGAGGCCTGGGGCCTGAACTCAGAAGGGCCCATGTCGGCAGACTGTTTGTGGAGTCTGATATTTTTGACACAATCCATGAAACAAATAAAAAATTTCAAAAACAATTCTAATGAACTAAGAGACAACTTGATAGGGTATCAAAACCCCAAGCCAGAAACGAGAGGCTGTCTATTTTACCACAGCCTTCCTGTGTGGTTTCAAACAGCTTCCCCCAAGTGGCTCAAGTCTTCCTTAGCCGTCAAATCTAGAAATGATCTTTCAGAGAAAGGGAACCAAGACCAAGGACACATGCGCAGCAAGGATCAGCCAGAGCCCGCTGCAAAAGGCCAGACCCTGACGCGGCTGAGGGGTGACAGACCCTTGGGGAGATGCAGCGAGAGTCCGACTTACCTTCCGCTTATCTACGGGACCCATCTTTAGTATTAGGTTATTTTCTACAAACTGGTGCCTATAAAAAGAAGGAAACAAGAATGAGACGCTCACGTTGAGTCAGGGACAGAAATTCTCCCCAAGCTCCTCCACTCAAAACGAACTTGCTGAGGGCATCTGCGTGCCTTGCCCAAGCCTCTCTCGTCACAGCCCCAACTCGCTCCAGGAACTCAGGAGGCCCCAAGTGTCAGAGAGGGTGCACGCAGGTGCCCACTGCTCGACAGCTTTCGATCGGGGTGTGCGGACCAGCACCGTTGCCTGCTGCTACCTCTGGCTTGGCAGCACAAAGGTGGCAGCGAGGGGACGCCGGTCCTCCTTCATGTGAACAAAGCTGGGGTGAACACAGAGCCCCTGAAAGGGTGGAGGCTTCCAAGAGTCACCCCAGGACACAGACTGCTGGCCACACACTACCTCCCCAAGCTGGGCCTCCCAATCCAATGCTCAGAAACCACCGAGCAGCTGAGAATCACAGATCCTGGAAAGACCCATGCCGGACACGGTCTGAGAACACCTTCTCTGGTGTTTCTACCATAGTAACACAGCACTCCTACTCAAATATGGCAGGAGTTTGGAAGAGAAAGCTAGGAACACAACTTTGACTTAATGTGCATTCTTAGCAAGTATAGTTCACTTTGACTCCAAGGAGGATAAAAAAAGGTTGTTTTAATGTCTACGGGTTCTTGCTTTTGGTTAAAGTGAATAGTTGCCGGTTTATGTTCTGACTTTACTGAAATTCCTGATCTGAAGATCTACTGTAGAACACAGTATTTTTTATTTGGAAAGGCCTAAGACAACTGTCACCTCCAACAGTGACTGTTTTATTACCACTTTAGTATCTGAGCGCACCCACCCAAGACCCAGTGCGTGCAAGACAACTGGCCAAGCTGGCAGAACCATGTTTTCCCATCCAGCTCACCTGGCCCCGAGGTCTGCCCATGCTAACCCAACCAGACCCAGGCCGGCTCCAGAGCTCACAGAGGACCCATTCCCAAGGACCCAGCCTACATGTGAGTGGACATAGCCGCAGGTGGATTCTGAAAACTAAAAAGAATTTTAAAGAAAACAGTGCTGTATGAGGGAAAGTACAACACCTCCCTCTCAGAGGTACTTAAAAACCAAACAAACAAACAAAACCAAGCCTTGAAACAAAGAGGAAAAAAATTTAGGATATTTTTGAAAAGCAGATAGAATGATCTGCAGTGCAAAAACAGATCAAACAGAAAGCCTCTTCTAACCAACAGACCCTAATGTAGAAGAACTGGATGTGTAGTAAAGAACCACAAACTAACCATAAGGAGAAGACTTGAATTAACTGTAATGGGTGTGGGGAGTCGGGGGTGGGGGGAGGTAGCCAGACCCCCGGGGCGCTGGGCTGATGGTGCCACAGCACCAGGGAAGCCTGACAGGTCTCACAGTATCTTTGCAGCTTCACGTGGTGACAGGAGACACCGAATAAAATATTAATCGAACAAGAGATTCTGGTTTTCCCTGAGCTTGAGAAACTAGGGAAGATTTTCCTTGAGGATAGTTGACACTGAGTCCAGTTCGCCGGCAGCCTCAAAGCAGCCCAACCCCACTGCCAGGGCAGAGCTAGGAGAGGGGGGAGGAGTTCCTGTCTAAGCAGCAGTCAGGACCACGGGGGGACAAAAGCACCTCCAACTACAGAACCACCACGGTGAACCAGGAGACAGGCTGGAGAGGTCTTCAGTAAATATGGCCCACAGGGTCAACATCACTCTGCAGAGCACATGCAAAGCAACAGGAAAAGCTTAAAGCTAAAAAAAAAAAAAAAAAAAAAAGAGAGAGAGAGAGAGAGAGAACAAAGGATACAAACTAGCAATTCCCCAAAGAGGGCGTGGCCCCAAAATTTTCAATGGCTCTAAGTAAACAAAACTGAGCTAGCTGCCCTTCCTGGATGCCCTACTGGGGTTGCCCTGGTGTGTGTGTGAGCACCTGCTCAGCACGGGAACCTGTGGTCCTGAACTTGAAACTCGCTTAAAAGCAATTTGGAAATGATGTATTGAGACGTAATCCCACTCCCAGCCATTTACCCTCAGGAGGTAAAGAAAAATGAAGATTAGAAGCACAGATGTCCACAACAGTATCACAGTGAAACCAAAACCACAGCAATGGCTCAGCAACAGAACATTCTGGCACTGCAGGGAAGCAGGCAAGCCCCTTCCTCATCCCTGCCGTGAGGACCCCACTGACAGAGCCCAGCCTGACTATGTGGACCAGCACGCTCTCGGGCCCTGTCACACGCGCACAAGCGCAGCCCCCGCCTTTCGCACTCCTCCCAGGTGTTGACAGCCAATGCGGGCTCCTGACTGGATCCAGTGGCTGGGGTGAAACAACCCCGAGGCAGGACGCAGAGAGGCTCCAAAGCTCCATTATTAGCACAAATGCCACAATGCAATCGTGCAGTGCGTTTGCCAGTTAGCTCACAACAGGCTGCTAGTGAGCTACCTTGGAAACTTTAAGCACTTATTAAAGGAATTATTTTTACTTCAAAAAGTCAATTTCCACTCCCCTGAAAACACCCCCCGCCCTGTGCACGAGGTGCGTTTTCCTCGCTGGCAAGTGGTGGACGCCATCTGCAGACTCATAGCTGAAGCCAGACCCGAGTCAGAGACTCTCAAGAGTGTGGTCAGCAGATCGTGCTGACCACACAGTGACGCTCACCACTGGCTCTGTGCCGACGTCCACGCAGGCTTGCCCATGGTTGTTTCGCTAGGGGGGGATGCTGTCGAGGTACTCCTTCCTCCTGATTCCAAAGCCAGGGTTCTCTCCTCCTCACCCTATCCCTCTAGCAACGCCCAGGCCCCAAGAAGGTCATCTTGGAAGATGCAAGCCTGAGGCCACAAGCAAGTCTGAGCCACTTCAGGGCACAGTCACTCCCAGGGAAGCCGAGCGAGCCGGCCAGAACCCCGAGGTGGCTCTTCTGACCACCTCAGGAAGGCTCTCCACACTGGGCTTTGACCCAGGGATGGAAGAACAAGTGACCAGTTTGCTGTTTGCTCTAAAACGCCAGTTCTGGGGACCCCTTTACACCCTCAAACTTGATGGAAGATCCCAAAGAAATTTCCTTTATTGGGGTTACACATTGATATTTAGGTAGGAGAAATTAAAACGGAGACATTTTTAAATACTTAATTCATTAAAAACCACAAATAAAACCATCACATACTAATATAAATAACATTTTTATTCAAGAGTAACTTTTTTCCAAAATAAAGACAATTCTTTATTGGGAAGCATGACCCCACTGTACATTTTGCATATCTCCTTAGTATCTGGCTTTGGAGAAGATGGCTGGGTGACCCCCCCATCTGCCCCAGCCTTCACTGGGCTGTGCCCCACTATGCACGCTGGAGCACACGAAGGACTCAGCCTCACTGAGTCAAGTAGCTGGAACAGGAAGGAGTGCCTTTAAAAGCCTCTTCAGATGACGACGGGCATTCTTCTTTGATAATGCACCCAAATTCAACAAGCGGAGTTCCTTCAAGGTTTGTTGCCACCTGGAGTCGGAGTCCCACGACGGCCCTCTCACACTCTAGAGACACTAGAACTCATCGGTGTACCTGGCACTTTGAACAGCTCTGCCCCCAGCACCCACCTGGAAAACGGTGGTTTGCCGAGTCATGGAAATCTTCCCAAACTGACAAATTACCTCCCACGGTATCAGCCAATCAACTCATTACCGTCACGACCTCTCTCAAGTCTTTAAGTCCTGGGAAGATGTCAAACTCACAGAGAGGGATAAAGGTTCCCCAAATCCTAATATCGATTTTATGACTGGTAACAAATACTGGCAGTTGTTTGTCTTAAAGGACAGGCTCATTCCACTCCTTTTCCAGAAAAAAATGGCCCAACGGCCAAGTCTGAATAACCCCAGTTTGCCAGGAAAACACTGTAGTGAAAACGGTCTCGCATGCAAAGAGAAGCTGACCACGCTCCCAACACCACTGCTTTGCTTGAGAGAATTCACTCTTGGCTTGGCAGCAAGAGATACTTCCTGCACACTTCCCATTTCATTCAGACTACTAATAAAACCAGTAATTTTTGACAACTAGTCCCAAGTGAGCCTGGTTTCTTTTCTTCCCGGGCGTGCACAGAAAGCCGCGGTGCTCGCGCACCGCCTGGTGCCACAGCCTGGACTCTTGACCTGCCCCCCGAGGCTGTGCCCGCCACTGCTCCTGCAGCACGGGTGCCCAGGTCAACAACGCATCTGTTCCAGAACAAGCAGTGAGATTCCAAGGCAGGACTCGAGGCAGACCCTGCCCTGAGCCTGAGGAGGCATACACGCAGCTGACAACTGTTCTTCATGCGAGTCTGACGGAGAAACTGACTGCAACTGCAGAAGAGGCAACCTTCCCAAATGGTAAGATCACTCCGGTGGTTGCCGGACAAGTTGGTATGGTGTGTGCCATAAGCATTCTGGGAAACTCTCTGGCTGATGAACTTGCCCTTGTGGATGTTTTGGAAGATAAACTCAAAGGAGAAATGATGGGTCTGCAACATGGGAGCTTGTGTCTTCAGACAGCTAAAACTACGGTGCATGAAGACTACTCTATGACCGACTCTAGCATTGGGGTGGTAACTGCAGGGGCCCTCCCCAACAGGAGGGAGAGAGCCAGCTCAGTCTGGTGCAGAGGAATGTCAGTGTCTTCCAATTCACCATCCCTCAGATAGTCCAGTACAGTCCTGGTGGTGCTGTGACTGTGGTTTTCAACCCACGGGACGTCTCACATATGTAACTAAGGGGACTACGCAAGCACTGTGTGATTCCAAGTGGGTGTAATCCGGATTCTGTTAGATTTCACTATCTTACGGCTGAAACACTTGGCACTTATCCCAGCAGCTGCCATGGATGGACTTTGGGAGAACATGGCGACTCAAGAGCAGATGTGTGGAGTGAACACGGCAGGCATTTGTGCCCAGGAACTGAATCCAGAAATGGGAACAGATGGTGACAGTGGAAACTGGAAGGGAGTGCATACGAGGGTGGTTCAAAGTGCCTATGAAGTCATCACACTCAAAGGACATACCAACTGGACTAGTGGATTAAATATGGCTAAACTCACTGAATCCATGTTGAAAATCTAGCCAGGATGCATCCAGTGACAATGATGGTGCAGGGAATGCATGGCACTGAGAAAAGTATTCCTGAGCCTTCCATGTACCCTGAATGCTTGGGAATAAATGGGTGTGATCAGCCAGAAGCTGAAGGATGATGAGGTTGCTCAGCTCAAGAAAATGCAGATACCTTGCGGGACATCCACAAAGACCTAAAGGCCTGTGACTTCCGGCTTCTAGAGCTTTCAACACCACAGTGTAATTAACCATGAATGATCCTCTAGCTTTCATCCATGTGCATGGACTGCGGTTAGCTTTTCTCTTCCTAAATATGTGAATTTGGGCTCAGAGACTTGAAGATCACACTTGGTTCAATGCTTGCAATATGAGCAGCATCTGGAGATTTAGCCGCTCATAAGGAAAAAATGTAACTCGGCCAGATGGATGCCAACTCACTCCTGGTGTCCACAGCCGCCTCTTTAGCCCAGCAAGCTGATGCACCAGGGCCCGTGGCAGTGCCGGGACTCCTCACCCCGACTGTCACCTGGCAGGCACTCCGCCATGTCGAAGGCCCAACACTCCTTGGCCTCCCAGCTGTCGAGTGCACTTTCCCAGCCTGGACAACGTAACTTCTAAGATTCCACAGCGGCTTCTGAAGTTTGGCTCTGAAAGAGCTCCTCACATGTACACTTACAACAAGCTATTCCTTTATCATTCCAACTCTGAATGACAGGCCTCTGGCGCTGCAGTTCCACCGGCACCAGAACAGTACGCAAAACCGTTCTGTTGAGAGACACGGACGGAAGGCACTGACATGCCCACGTATGAGGGGAAGAGAGCCCCGGCCTGTTGTAGCTCTGTATCTACAGTTCCGCCCAGTGTCTCCGGAACACGCATCGGAGAGCGCTCTGACAGCCCTTGAATGTGGGTGGGGCTGCTAGGGGCTGAAAAAGCACATCTCTCTCTGAGTCAATATGAAAAATGTTATAAATGTCCTTTTGTTTTAAATATATCATTAAGATCTACAATGATAGTTTCAGATAAAATTTAGAAATGTTTTCCAGAAATCTTTAAATTTTATTGCAAAACAAGTCAGCAAAGTGCCCTGAGGTTCTGTTGTGTGTCCACGTAGGCCTAAGGAAAACTTCAGGATTTCAAAGCAAGGATTTACCAGATGACACCAAGTTGCAGTGATTATAGCAGGTGTAACTGAAGACAGCTAAGAGCACAGCAGAACTACTGAGAATTCACTAAATCTCTAAAGCTGTACATATTTATACTGTAAACCTACTCCTGTCGATTCAAAAAGGACAAAGCATACAGCCCAGTAGCTGCCAAAGCAACATCACAGTCCAGGGTGCAGCCTCTGAAGATGTGTACTACACACACTCGGAGAATGACGGGGAGAAAGCAAGAAACCTCTTAATGCTATTACACAATTATTACCATGCCCCTTGGGCTGTACACTGAGTGCCCTGTCGTAAGAACAAAGATCTTGCCCTGCCAGATAAGAGATGCTGCAAGCTTTGAGAATCACCAGCCCAGAGAGCCTGAACCTGGAGGGAAGGGATGAGAAGCCGGAACAAAGGGAGGGAAGGCAAGAGGCCTCAGTCCTGCCCAGAACCCAGGCTGCAGGGCCTCAGGGGGGGCCCTAAGCAAAGGCACACAAGCCTTCTGGGGAGTCACCCCAAGGCTGCAGGACAGCAGGCCCAGGAAGCTTGGCGCACAGACCTGCCCAGAGTGCCCGGCCTGGTGGTGCTCACACCGTTCTGACCAAAGCCCCTTCCTCCCTACTCTGTACACACTGATACTCCTAAGCACCACCACTTTAGGAAAGGTAAACTCCCGAGAACTGTAGGTTATTCCAGTTGGCTGACGTCTAACTACACTTTTACTGGAGACAATTAATTTCTAATGGTTTGCAACCCTGGCTTCATCACCCACTGCTTCTCCTTTGCACCCTGCCTCCTCCTCTTACTCCTCCGGGCCCGCCTAGCCCAGCCCGCCACCCAGCCTGCCTCCTCCCTCCATGCCCATGCCAACCCAACGCACCTCCCCGCTCATCCCTGCGCCGGACTCCCCTCCACCCAAGTGAAAGGTGAAACCAAAAAAATGCATGAAGAAAGTGTCAGGGTAGACACACTCTTCTCAACATGACCAAGACAGAAAACAGAAAATAAAAACACAGACGCGTTTGACTTTGTAAGAATTTAGAACTTCTATACAAAAATACACACCAAAAAAACTGAAAAGACAAACTGAAAAAAATGTTTGTGAAACATACAACAAAAATATTCTTTGCGTCCATGGCTCTCAGAGTCAATTTCCAAAAGATGGAAAGTGTACAAGAAGAAAAATAGTCAAAGAAGACCAAGTACCTCAAAAGATAAATAGAAACAGCCAATGATGTTTGCCTCAACCAGGATACAGATGCAAATTACCATGACCCATCTTTAGAGCATCAAAGTGCTTCAGGAGAGGCAAGAGTGCTGGGAGACGGGGGTTCTCCAGCACCGTGGACACAAAGCACTGCATCCTCACGAGTGCTCACACTTACTCCACCTGCCAAACCAGGGCTCCCCCTTATCAGAAACACCCAGGCAAGTGGGAAAACCTACATGCAAGAGATGATCTGCAATAGTGAAAACTCTGGAACGCCCCACATGCCTCACCTAGGGGCATGCACGTCAGAACACAGATGCCGGCAAGGCCTGGCTCATTGAGCCCTGAGGGTCTCAAACCCTCTCATCCCCAGGCCAACACCTCCAAACCCCCAGTTCAGGCTGGACCCTTTGAGGGTCCTCGTTTCCCGAGCATGAATGGCAGCAAGGGAGGTGGGAGGTGACGCAGGGCCTTGGCAGGCAGTGGAGATGGAGGGCGGGAGCCTGTGCTCTCGGTCTCCCGCTGCTCGACTCCCACGCACTCGGCTCTGCTCTTCTAAATGGAGCACTGCTTACATCTATGGATTCTTACCAAGGGTTTCCACTGGCCTGCTTCTCCAGTAACAACCTCTTCTCATCTTCGGAGAACTCTAAGTCCAGTTCAAAAGAATTAGTGTCCAGGTCATGGATATACTGCTCGATGTTGCTGCCCGCCGTCTGCGGCAGGCCTGCATCCGAGGCGGACAGGGAGTGGGAGGAGGAGGACGAGGACACCTGCATGCAGCCGAACTGGCTCAGGAGGTTGTCGTACTGCGCAGAGAGAGGGAAGAGTGAGAGCCACGAACGATTTCCCCTTGGGCCCCCAGCCCAGACCCAGCAAGCTCACGCCCTGGAGGTCTCGAGGCCCCCATGGCCGCTCTGACTCCTCCTGCCACCAGATGGCGGGCCCCTGAACCAAGGCAGGGCTGGGTGCTGCCAGGTCTGGTCCCGCTCCTGATGGGCTGACCCCCAGTCTTCATTCCCAGGAAGAGGAGACCCAGGGCCTGGGGACTGGCTGACCCCTGCAAGCCCCGGGCTACCCCAACCAGAGGAAAGAAGAGGAGGGACGGACGGCCTCCTGGGTGCAGCAGCACCCTCCTGTAAGCTCAGGAGCCCTCCTCCTTGACCCTGTGGCTTGACGTTTCTAAAAGTCTGTGGTTGTCACTGTTATGTCCCAATTTGTTCAATTTTTTAAAAAATATATCCCTTTTAACTACGGCAAGTATTAATTCAACTTGATAAAAAGTTGCGGGCTCTTCTGGAGAAAGCTATAAACCGGTGGTCACACGAAAACGGACTTACAGAAGTGCCAAACAGGCAAAGACTGTGCACTCAGATACCCCTGGGGCTGGTGAGAGGGTCAGAGAGCCCCCAACAAAGACCTAAGGAAGAGTGCTCGCCCTTGACGGCCTGCTCCCCACAGCTGCAGGCCCCACGCCTGAACCCCACCCACTGCAGTCAAATACAAGGGAAAAGAAGCCATCAGCAAGGGCTGAGACCAGAGCCCGCGTGTCCTTCCAAGTCCCCTGTGTGGCCAGAAAGGCCCTGGCTGCCACCCTTGAAGGTGGGCCCCGGACACAGCACACTCCCCGCCCACCTGCAGACCATGCTCCCACCCTCCTGACTCACTGCTGGGAGTGGCCTTCTCCCAGGTGCTCACACTGCACAAGACAGCAGGCTCAGCCCCACCTCACTGGCTCCTAGGTGGGACTGACCCTGGCTGGACACTCCTACTGCCCCTCATCTAAGTAAGGTCTTCTTCTAGCACATTCTCTGCTTCTGCTCTGTGAGGACTCCCTGGACCAAGGCCGCCTCTCAACATCCCAAAGTTTACAGAGGCTTCCACCGCCAGGTGTTTCAGGAGCTGCAAGGCCAGTGAGATGGATGTCTCCAACATTTCCATTTCTAAAACAGGGAAACTGAGGCATGGAACTGCCCCCCAAGACCACAGCCTGCTAGCTAGCACCGAATTAGGACTGGTCCTCTATGTCTTTCCCAGCACAGCAGCTGCCCTGCTCTTGTCTCAGCTGTTGGCTTCCCGCCACCATCACCTGGGCGACTCCTGTCTTGGCAGCGGTGCTGCACCGTGCCCCACAGAAAGCTCTAGATGTTATCAGCTCTCTGCTCTTCGATCCTTGGTAGCATCTAGGACAACCCACAGCACAAATGCAAGCCCAGAAAGAGCGTGTGACAAGGGGTGGCACTGGCTGGCATGGGGGTACCTGCTGGCGCGCACTAAGGAAACTCCCCATGATGCCCCAGCACGGAGGCTTTTTCCAAGGGTGCCACACCTGGCACACTCCCTCCAGGGTCTAACCACCAGCACCACCACCAGCCACCGCAGCAGATTAAGAACACACAAGAGAACCAAGTGCCCACTCTCTTCATTCCCTGAGTAAACAGTTCCCAGTTCTTTGCCCCCAGAGGGAGCCTCCTTCCTGCTGAAAAGGACCCCAGATTCTCTCAGAACCTCGTGGATGAGAACATGCCCCTGCCAGACTGTCAACACCCACAGAATGGGAGTGCCCCCTCCCATATGAAATACGTTCCCAGGTCAAGGCTCACTTCACTGTCCAAATGCAAAGTCTGGTACAGCGAGTGCTGCCTGAATACCTCCCCAAGGCTTTCAAACCACACAGCTTTCAAAGCTGAGGATGAGCCATCTAACAGAAAGTAAGCCATTAACCAATGGAGCTGGTTCTAAGATGGCCACACCTGAGTACTGAGAAGCCAGGGTTCGCAGCGAGGTGAATGCGACCAATCAGCAGATAGAAGTCCTGCCCAAGACACTCCACCGTGCATGTTAACACACATGCACAGGCACACACAGCTCCACGAAGCTGAGCCCCAAGTCAACAACGGCCTAAGTGGCCCCTGCAGAGCCGGCAGTCCGAGCAAGCTGCTTCACCGGCCACGGCTCCAGAAGGACATCAGGCCCGGGGGACGGAGTCCTGGGGTGGGGTCCCCAGCAGTCCGCACACACGGAGGCTGCCGACAGCTGAGACCATTGTGGTGGGGAAAGCAGGCCAGTAGTGAGCCCAGATGGCTACCCACACCCGACTCCCTTCAACTCTGGGCACAAAGGATATTTTAGGACAATGAAAGGGTGATGTGTTTTTTACAACAGTAAGGAGACAGAAGAAACTCGGTCTCTGAGAGGATATGAACAGTAATTTTAACTAAGCTATGGATGACTTTTAGATAAAATCTAAATTCCCCAGTCAACTAACGTGGCACTCTATACACGGGAATTGGCTAGAATAAGCCACGATGACAGAAGTTACACCAAGAGAACGGACTGTGGATGGTAACAGAAACATGGGAAATCATATTTAAACATGGGGGGGTCGTGGTGGAGGGTGAGGAGGAGCACAGGACTGCCAAGAAGCCGGTCACTGGTGGTGTGAGGGGGGTGCATGGCCGCTCACTGTACCCCTCTGCCCACTTCCGTGTCTTCACATCCTCCATAAGGAACGTTCAAACAACAAAGTATACTCAAGACCCCACCTCTACTAGGCACAAAAAGCTAACAGTGACCAGTGTCCCCCAAAAGTTCAAAGCAGCAGCACCCGGGGCTTCTGGAAGATGAGAAGCATTCCAGAATGTCTTTAGATGCACGATTACAAAGCACCAGCCAAAAGCAGAAGACAGAAGCCCAGGGGGACAGCATGGAGGGTGCTGCTCCCACTGGTTTCAATCTCCCCAACCCAATGGCAGGCTGCCTCTGAGGGAAAACTAACCACAGTAAGAAAAGGAGACTGCCCTCACCCCCCCCAAGCCTCGCAATCTGCGCTTGGGGCAGATGGGCAGACGGACGCTTCACTGGCCCCCGTACTGGGGAGACTCGGCCAGTGGCTACACAGGGCTCAGCCACCAATAGGTCTATACTGGCCTCCCCTCCAGCCATGCAGTCCACAAGCTGGGCTCCCAGGGCCCATGGCAAGGACTCCCTGTGCACCGAGGAACGGTGGCACACAGCACTGTGGGGCTGTTCCTGACACACACGTGCATGTGCATGCACACGCTCCCCCCAACAGACACACGCACAAACACCACTCACGCATGCACACACCCCCACACACACAGACACACCGCACGCGCGCACATGTGTGCACATGCTGGCTGGCTTACGTTTCCGTAGCAGTCCTCGTCATCCTCTGACATGGCTGGCAGGTAGGCGGTGAGCTTCGGAGGCGTCTGATGCTGCAGGTTCTCCCACGTGATGGACTCGAAGAACGGATGCGCTCGCAGGGGTCCGTACCCTCCCATTTCCTCACAGCCTAATCGCTTCGTGGCATCTAAAACCTGAAACAGAAGTCAACACAAGTCAGTGCTTGGATCGAAAAGTATTTGACAAAAACGTTCTTTGTGAGTACAACTTTTCAAATTTTCTCATCTCAGACAAAGGAGGGCACTAGGGCCTGTCCCGCCCCATCCCACGGCGTGCCATGGACGGCAGAGTCATCCCCGGGGCTTCGTTTACCTCTCTCAAGCTCCTAGCCTTCCCCTTGCACAGGTGAAAATAACTCAAAATTTAATGAATAGCATCAAGTGTTCTCTTAAAATACACAATTAAAAAGCCTACAAGAAAAAAATAAACATACTGTCTTTAATAACAAAGAGACCATGAATCTGTCTAGATGGTGAGCTACCACGGACAGAACTCAAAATGCTGTGTTCTCCCACCCGTGCTTCATCTCAAAGGGCCCCAGAGTCGTCTCCTCCCAGATTCAGCTTTATGCCCCCAGACCCACCAAGCATTAGCACGCTGCCTGCTGATGGGACAGGCCCTGGAGAGGCAGGCTGACACAGGGCTGACCCTGTCCCCAAGACAAAGGGAGTGAAGGGGGGGTCCAGCACCCGTGCACACCAGGGCAGGGACACTGCAGCTGCAAAACACAAACTCAAATACTTTTGCTGCGTGAATCGCTTACCTCTACCATAGTACCTGGGTGATCTTTAAAACCTTCCTGCAGCAGACTCTTAAAGCTGACACCCACAGATGTCACTGTGCAGGATTTAGAGCCATCTGCCACTGTAATACACCTAGTTGCTCCAGCAACAAGTAACTTAAAATCCTATGTATGTTAATGAACAAATGCAAAATGATACAATGATTTCCTGTCTTATTAAAGTCAAGAATTGGGCATTTGGAAATTGAAAGGCTACAGTGATCAGATGACACAAATCTACCTACACTCATGATCAACCCTAAGACACCCTTCTGTTAAAACACAGGGGCCTCCAGGAAAGCTGCTCTGACTACAAGTTCAGAGGGACTCAAGAGTGTGGCTGTCAGATCATCTTACAGAAGACAATTCAGAATATTTACCAAAAGTTTTTCCACAAGGTCTCTTGCCTTAGGGAAGAATTTTTCAGGAAAGTCATATTCCAACTTAATGATCTTCTGAAATATAAGATATTCATTTCTGTAAAACAAGAAACGCCATCACTTGGGCAGAGTGCACGAACCTCCCCAGCACAGAGCTTTACAATTCCCGGGCCAGCAGTCTCCCTCTCTCCTGCAGAGACACCGCTGCAGAAGTCCCCGAACCCTGGCCCAGCCCTGGCCCAGCCCTGGCGGCTGCCCCCTCCCACCTCTCTTGCAGCTGCTGCAATGGGCTTGGGGGTGATAGGTGGTCTTACCCCGCTCGAAAAGGCGGCAGTCCTGCCACAAGCTGGTATATTATACATCCGAGAGCCCAAAGGTCTGAACTTTAAGGGAGGGGAAAAACAGAGAAGAACGACGTTTGTAAAATGTTCGTGACAAGCACAGTTTACTTCTGCCCTACTGGTTCGTACTGCCCCATCTCTGATCTACTTCTCTTCTTTAAAACCAGGTCAGTGTAGGGTAGGAACCTGCTCAGGGTCCTTCTTGAGGGGGCCTCCCTGGGGACCTGGACTCGGAGAGTCTCACCACACAGCAAGCACTACTGGGCCAGGCCATGCAGCCATTCTCACAGCCCCACCACTGCCGGGGGGCTCCCAACTGTCTCACAGGGCCCATGTGGACCTGAAGAGATAGCAGAGGTCACTCCTGACAGTGACAGAGAAGCACCTTCTTCCAGCTCTGGGCAGCAGGTGGTGGCGCTGGTAAGGGGGCTCCCGGCACTCACTGCAGGTCCGTACAGCGACAGATCAACTTAGATTCTCTCACAACTCACTCAGCGTTTACCCCCAGAACACAGATGCAAGCCAAGGGGCCAAATGAGACACTCCACAGGATGTGCACAAAGCAAGCTTTAACTCTGTCCCTTCTTGAACTTGTGAAAAGCCATACCCCTCCTTCATAAATATTTTAATTCCACATTTTAAAAGAAACAGTTCTAAACTTCCCTAAGCTGTTTCCAGAACCAGCTAGCAGGGACCCTGGAGGGGATGCTCTTCTCGCCTGTGATGTCGCCGCCCCCTTCCCACCCTGCCCTGCTCACTCTCGCCCCTCAGTGCCTTCTTGGAGCTCATGGCTGACATCAACTTTCATATTTTCTTTCCTCTGGAAATTTTTTTTTCCCTTTTTTAATTTTTTAAGATTTTATTTATTTATTTGACAGAGAGAGAGAACACAAGTCTCTCCCTTGACCAACTGAGTCACCCAGGCGCCCCTGGAAATTTTTCATTCTACTCCCAGCTCAGCACTACAAAATCATCCAGATGCAACTTGTCCCACACCGCCAGCTGCCTCCCCCGAGCCCTGAATGTACAAGGGCTCATGGGCTGCTGCATACAACCAGCTTTTGGAAGAGGCCACGGCCTTCCATTCAGGAGATGAGACTGTAAGGTACGGGTGGAAGGGTCAGGCCAGCCGCAGTGCCGGGGGCAGGAAAGGCATGTGACGTGTGTTAAAACATACAACAGATCAGAAATCTGAGGCACAACATGCAAGTGGAGTGAAGGGCATTTAAAAAATGAATCCACAAGGGCGCCTGTGTGTGGCTCAGTCATCAAGCGTCTACCTACGGCTCAGGTCATGGTTCCAAGATCCTGGGATCGAGCCCCTCATCGGGCTCCCTGCTCGGCGGGAAGCCTGCTTTTCCCTCTCCCACCCCCCCACCCCGCTTGTGTTCCCTCTCTTGCTGTGTCTCTCTGTCAAAAAAAAAAAATATTTTAAAAAAAAAAAAAAAAAAAACAAACCCGAACCTACATTCTACCTAGTAACTAGTTTTACACTTGGTTTTCTCTACTATCCAGTCTAGTGAAAATGGGGAGCCACACAAGACAGACGCCAACAGAAAAGCCTTGGCCCTTGGCAGTGGCAGCCGCCAGAGATTGAGTGGGCGGCTATGCGCGGGCTGCCGCCTCCAGGAAGCGTCCGCACAGCTGGGCCTGGGCTCTTCTCATTCCTGTGCATTATCTGAATGTTTATCACCAGCAGCTCTCCTACCATTTGAGATGGTTTTTTAGTACAATAAAAACTAAAGAAGGAAGTCGGTGTAATATTTCTGGCAAGCAGTATGTACCAAGGATTTTTATTTTTTTATTTTTTTTAAAGATTTTATTTATTTGAGAGAGAGAGAATGAGAGATAGAGAGCACGAGAGGGAAGAGGGTCAGAGGGAGAAGCAGACTCCCTGCTGAGCAGGGAGCCCGATGTGGGACTTGATCCCGGGACTCCAGGAGCATGACCTGAGCCGAAGGCAGTCGCTTAACCAAATGAGCCACCCAGGCGCCCTGTACCAAGGATTTTTAAAATGCTAAGTTAGACCAAGTCATTCCACTTCCTGCAATCCAAGCAGAGGACCGCGAGGCAGCCCCCCGCAGACTCAGGACACGCAGGGGCGCCCTTCCTCCCCAGGGCCTGGCATGTGCAGCACGTGGCAGTCACGCCAGATCGTGCTACGTAAATGAAAAGCGCCTCAGCGCCAACAATAAAGGAAGAGCTCAATGACCTACAGTAAATCCATGTGCCAGAAGCACACAGTGTCAGAGATGTCTACAGATGACTTCAGGGACATGGGAGATGCTGACTGCGTAATCCCAAGAAACAGGGCTCAAGCTGAACAGAAGTCACGTGAACATACAGAAGACACACAGAAATAACTAACTGCAAAGACACTGGTGTTTGTAAGTGGGCTGCAGACTCTTGAGTGTTCCTTGCTCTTGTATCCTCCACGTTTTCTAAGAATTCTTTACAATACACAGGTTATCACTTTTAGAATCAGAAAACAAATCTTAACTATTTTTGAATAAATATCACAACTTACACATTTCAAAGCATAAAAAGATACACAATGCCGTCTCCCTCACAGAGCTACCCCCTCACGCCCCCAGAGGGCCACTGCCCCCACTGCCAGCGCACCCACCCAGGAGAGTTTAAATGACGGGCAAGTGAACGTGGGTAGACATGCTCCTTCCAGTTTTCACACAGAAGGCAGTGGCCACTCTCCCTTCCTATCTCACCCAGTAGAGCCTGGAAGCCTTCCCCCATCAGTGCTAAAGGGCTACTTCATCCTAAAAGCCCCAAATTGAGGCAAAGCTAGCCCATAGGCAGCCATGACACCCGCTTCGAGAATCTGGCCCGCAGCACCCACCACCCAGCCTCGGCACTGTGGACACCAGGAGCCTATTCAGTCTTGCTGGGGAGCTGTTATCTGCATCTCACCAGGCTGAGCAGTGTCCCTGGCCTCCACCCACCAGGCGCCAATAGCACTCCCTTCCCACTCCTGCCAAGTGGTGACACCTAAAGTGTCCAGACAGGGCTAAACGTGCCCTGAGGGGCAGAACTGCCCCAGCTAAGAAGCCCTGCCCTACAACAATGTCTGGCCCACAGGAAGAGTTCAGATTCTGTGGATTGAGTAAGATTAAAAAAACAAAAACAAAGAACCCAGAGACTGCTAAGAGGCCCACCCACCTTCATGTGCGCCCTGCGGCTCCAACCCCTAGGGAGTTTTCAAAAAGCAGTCACACTCAGAAACACAGAGCCGCCCCCAGAACCACTCACTCCTCTGCCACTTCTGGCAGGGCTCTCTCAGGAAAGTGGCTCCTTGCAGCCGGCCAGTACAGGACACTGACGGCGCAGCCCTCAGTCAACCCAGGGGAGCCCCCCCACCCTCCGTCACCAGCATCAAGGAGCCACAGAAAAGCTCCAGCCACAGAACTTGTCATCTGGAACAGCTCTCAACACTGAGACCCCAGACTCTACTGCTACCTTTCCATCCTCCACCTGCCTCAGGCCCGCCCAAGACCGCTCTCCTGACTTCTCCCTGCTCCTGGCCATCAGCACCCCCACCCCCTTCTCTCCTGCTGCCCTGCTGCTGACTCTTCACTCTCCAGACCTCTGTTCCTGCGAGCAGAACCTCACCTATGCACCTCTCATTTTCAAAACTCAGGCCCCCACTCAGGCCCTCGACCCTGTGGCTCCAGGCCTGTGCCGGTTCTAAGCACTGGGGAGGGATGGCTCGCACTGGCTGGGCCCTGGCTGGGAAACTAGCTCCACCCCCTCCCACACGGGCTGCCTTCCGGGCCTCTCCCCACACTCTGCAGAGCCTGTTTTTCTAGAGTTGACCTGCTGCCGCTGCCACCGCCAGGGGGCACCAGCTGGAGGCAGCGCTATGGATCCCAGAGCTCAGGGACACGGCAAGGAATACAGACCTCCTGGCCACACTTTTCCCCCACTGAATAGTTGCTCCTAAAGGAACAAGATCAAATCTCAAAGCATCAAGCCACAACAGCCCCAGGAAGTATAACAAAGAATAAAGGAGCACACAGGTTATCCAAGAAAGATAGTGATAAAAGCCATAAAAGGCACTCTCTTAACCATACATGAAAAAACGAAGGTAAGAGCTACTGTAGTGAAATGAAAATATCCTGGATCAGATGAAAGTGAGTTACCTTTTACAGGCCGACTTCTCCGTGAGCAGCTCTGGAGACACATACTGGGCTGTTCCTACAAACGAGTTGGCCCTAGCTGATGAGAAGAGAAAAAAGGGAGAAAGGTCACGCTGAGACACAAGCATTTACCAACACTGCACCATGGATGCTCACCCATCAGGACGTCATGGTTCACAAGGCGTAACTGAGCTCTCGGTCACAGCACTAGTCCCCTGGAATTGGACTGACTTGTCCAGGGCCCTCCCCTCAAACCCCCTTCTTGGGGCTCTCTCCTCTAAAGGCTGGCTCAAAGGTCACCCACTCTGTGACACCAGCCCTGCCAGGGCAGTCCCTCCACGCCAGCCCGCCGCAGTCCTCTGGGCACCTCTCACGGACACACTAGAGAGACGTTCGCCCAGCCTCCTGTTAGCTGGGAGCATCCTGAAGACAGGGGGCTTGTCTGTTTGGTTCACTCCTGGACCTGTGGTGCCTAAAACAGCAGGCAGAGACGGGAAATGCAGAGATATGGGAACGGACCCGACCCCATGCAGGCTACGCGCCCCCTAACAAACAGCTCACGGAGGTTAGGGGCGATAAAGGGAGTGAGACCCAGGAGTTCTGGCCAGGGAAACTTCCAAACACCCTGCCGCCTCTGGTACTGGGTTTGCAACACCAGGTTCGCCAAGCTCAACCCACAGACTCCTAGGGTCAGTGACAGCAGGACCCTCTGGACCCACCCGTCACAAAACAGATGATGCAACAACACCCGAGTCACCCGAGTCACCCCAGTGGCCCTCAAGGCCCTCAGGCGCTCAAGAGCAGCCAAGCAGCCCCGAGAGGGCGGCACTTTGGGCAGGAGCCGGCCTCTCTACCACATGGCTCCTGAGGCATCTACATGGGGCGTCCTCCAATATGCAGGACAGCACAGTCACTCCGCCTTTCCCTGTGACCGACAGACACAGGACTGGGATTCCCATGTGACAAGTGCCCACTGTCTGAGAGCAAAACCCTTCTCTTAGGAGCATGTGAAATGCTGCGTCACCCCTGACACTTACCGAGAGACACCCCCCGCCATCACTTGCCATGACCTGCCATGCACGGCCTTCCACACCCAGCCCCACATAGACAGCACCCTCTACCCACACCGAACAGCTGTTGGCAAGGCTCTGGTCCTGCTTGGACAGGCCCCTGGAGGAGAAGACCACCTTTCCCAGCACCAGGTTCCAGCACGGCTCTGTCTCCTGTCCCAGCACCCCATGGCAGACAGGAGACCTAACCACGGTTGCTCCGGGCGCACAAGCCTGACCCTTTTGCAGATCACACGGTCCTTTTTCTCATTATCTTTAATAATCCCTGCTAGAAAGTATTTGTCCCTAAGAACATATCTTCCTGAACCAACCTAAGAAGTAAAACATCACAGCAACACACCTACCAGCGAATGGTCACCAGACCTCCAGGCCACTTCTGAAACCGGGGACACAGAAAGCAGAGACCAGCCCTGTGCAGGGTCCTGCCCGGTGGGCTTACTGACAAGTGTCTGAACTTCTCTACGCAGGGTTCTCAGCTGGGGACAGACAGGCCCTCAGGGGACACCAGGCAAAGCTGGGACATTTCCAGCTGGCACAACAGGGGCAGAAGGGAGCTCTGCTCACCTAGTGTGCAGATAACAGGGCTGCAGCTAAGTATCCCACAGGCTGCAAACAGCAGGAGCTCTCCAGCCCCACACGTTCCCCAGGCCCTCGGTGGCCTCCATGCAGCCTCCCTAGGACGGCGCTCTCCGACCCTCTGAAGACACGGCCCTAAACAGAACAGGAGGAGCCAGCTCCGTTCTGGGACGTTCTGGAGGAAGGGGAGCTGGGGAAGGGAGAACAGCTGAACGTGCCTTCGTCTTTCCTGCGCGGCTGTGTGTGTGTTAAGTCGGGGGAAGCAACCTTCTCCTTCTGCACTTGACTGCAGGCTCTGTACTGGGCACCTCAGACTGGTCCTGACAGAGAAATGACTTGAGGTTACAGCTTCCTGGGACAAAACACAGCAGACCTATGTTTGGTCTGTCTACAAAATTCTTGACAGTATTATGGATATAAATAACACAACACCTGAATTAAAATGCAAACGGAAACCAGGGCGCCCAGGCACACCAATGCAGCACGTGGCGTCTGGGCTGAGAGAGGCCATCGTGTCCCCGCTCACCATCCCTGGGGAGGCCTTAAAGTGGCAGGGGCTCGCTGCAGGGGAGACCTCCTGACTGCTGTCCAAAGGCCTCTGAGGCAGATGCCCAGGAAGAAGACACGGACGAAGCCAGTGTGCTCACTCTTCCCCATGTGTCCCCAAATGTGTTCTCTGTCCTCCTTGATGCTCCAGGGGGGGGATCCTGGGTACTACAGCCCTAGAGTCAGCAGGAGCCCCCAGAGGGGGGCAGAGGAGAGCCATGGCTGTTACTCCTCCTGCCTCACTCCACGCCACACCCCTCTCCCACTGGGATGCCCCCGACCTGCCCAGGCCCGAGAGGCTCACAGGACCCCTGTAGGGATCCAGCCCTGTTGCTTCTTCGGCCCTGCTCTCTGTAACTGCTCCCTTCATTATTTTCATGTAAAGACTTTGTGGCTGCATTTGCATCCTGCCAGGATCCTGAGTGATACTGCCAAGAACACTGAGGTGATTCATAAGAGGAAAAAAGAAACCCAGAGCCAAAACCAAATGAAACCATTCAATGATGCAATGAATCAAAGAAATGCAAATGAAAACATGATGGCCTATCAAATCAGCAAAGATAAAAAAGGAAATACACACTGTTGGCAAAGATTTGAGAAGACACACACAGCGCTACGGGTGGGGATACGGAAGGGAGTCATTTTCAGGGGAGCAATTTTCCAAAAAGCATCAAAATTCATAGAGAACAAACTTGCCCTCTGAGCCAGCAACTCCACTCCTGGCACCTGATCCTCAAGGACGGATCCAGCACGGGCAGCAGGACGACACGGACCCCGGGAGCCCCACTTGGTAATTCACTGCGTCTACTGTGTGTCCATTCTGCATAGTAAACATGCGTTGCTTCTGCAATTTGTTTTATTTTATTTTATTTTTTAAGATTTTATTTATTTACTTGAGAGAGAGCAAGGTAGTGCAGAAGGAGAGGGATAAGCAGGCTCCCCGCTGATCAAGGAGCCCCACATGGGGCTCAATCCCAGAATCCCAGGATCACGACCCAAGCCGAGGGCTGACGCCCAACCGACTGAGCCACCCACATGCCCCTGAGATTTTTTTTAATGCTTTTGTTAAAAAGTTCTAAAAACGTATTTTTGTATGGAAAGATGTATTTACACATAATTAAATAATTCAGGCTATCAACAATATATAGAGGTGTTGTGCCTTTAAATAGCTACATGATGCACCAAATAAAGTCTAAAACATATACACCATCCCCACCCCTGCCCACGGCTGGGCTTTGAACAGTGAATCATGATGTCATTAGGGCTGTGTGGTTGTTGTAGGCTTTCTGGACCTGGGTCGGCTCGTCTCCCATGACACCTGCTGCTTCCTCTCACCCAGGAGCCCATGCCCACCTTTTTAGAGGCGGGACTCCGAGTCCCCAGGGAGGTACAAAATCACCCCCGAGGACAGGAGCTCTCTTGTTAGTCATGAGATGAATGACTCCTCTAGCACATGGAAAAGAACAGGGCTGCCCTCAGAATGATGTTCTTTTTTTTTTTTTTTTAAGATTATTTATTTATTTATTTATTGGACAGAGAGAGACACAGAGAGAGAGGGAATAGAAGCAGTGGGAAAAGGAGAGGGAGAAGCAGGCTTCCCACTGAGCAGGGAGGCCGATGTGGGGCTCGATCCCAGGATACTGAGATCATGACCTGAGCCGAAGGCAGACACTTAACGACTGAGCCACCCAGGCGCCCCTCAGAATGATGTTCTAAAGGCATAACAAATACGCAGGAGGACAAAGGATGAAAATACCAAAGTATTAAAGCAGTGACAGTGTGATATAACAGTACGTGATTTTCTTTATCAGTGTAATAAGATCTGGCAAGTCTAACAATACGGTAACTCTAAAGCAGCAACGGGGCGCATGACAGATCAAGAATCTGTGACAACCATGGGGGCGCCTGGGGGACTCGGGTCTGCTGAGTGTCCTCTGACTCTTGGTTTCAGCTCAGGGTCATGATCTCAGGGTAGTGAGATGGAGCCCACGGCAGGCTCCATGCTCAGCGGGGAGTCTAGGGGAGATTCTCCCTCTGCTGCTCCTCCCACTGGCGCTAGCGTGGGTGTGCACTCACACTCAATCTCTCTCAAATAAATAAATCTTAAAAAAAAAAAAAAAAAGCTGGGGGCGGGGGCATCTGGGTGGCCCAGTCGGTTGACTGGTCCGACTCAATTTTGGCTCAGGTAATATCTCAGGGTTGTGGGATTGAGCTCAGTGGGGAGTCTGCTGGAGATTCTCTCTCCCCGTCTCCCTCTGTTCCTCCCCCAACTTGTGCGTGCTCTAAAGTAAATAAATAAATCTAAAAAAAAAAAGGAATCTGTGACAACCGTAATGAACAGAGAAACACCTGACTGCTCCTGTTGACAGCAGACATTTGTTGCCTACCTTCATAATTAAAGGAAATGTTCAATTTCACTGAAAGTTTAGGAAAAATAAGCAACTTTCTCCTCTCAGCTTCACAGACAGCCAACTTCTATGCATGACACCAGGGTAAGAGCCCCAGAGAGCATTAGAAATGCACAGATAACCTAGTTCCCTCCCCCCAGAGGCTCAGAGATGAACCGAAGGCCAAACTGCTCCACCAGTTAGAAAACCAGGTCCAGAACCCAGCACTGGCCAAAACGCTGCCGTTTCCACGCCACTGACCCATTGGAAGTAGGCCACAGGGTCAGGGTAAAAGAAGAGGGTCTTGGGCTGGGTTGTTGTCTCCACCCTGAAAGTGATTCAAAGAAACTGACCAGCATCCTGGGCCGTGGAACACTCTGGCCACCACCTCGGACTCAGAAGTGCCAGCAAGGAAGGAGGGACCTCAAGAAGTGTCTCTGAGGTTCGAAGACACCTATACTCTCTTCAAAGCTGGAAGTGCAGCAGAATGCTCATATCGT